TGTTGGATATGAAGTGATCATAACCAACTCGCGCTACGCGCTCGTTGGTTATTTATCACTTCATATCCAACGCGGTTTCATGGAATAATTGTTAAATAACCGCACAGTTTGATAAATTAATCCACTTCCTTTTATCAACTGAACAGTGGCATTATTTTCCGAAGTAGCTGTGCCGCCCATATATGACATGTGCAGACTGCAGACTACATTTAGGTCTAAATAGCACTCTCGCTAGCCTGAATATCAATCAGGCTAGCCAAAATAGCACTCTTGTAAGCCTGTTTACCATAAACTATCAATAATGGAAATGGAAATACAATATTAGTGAAAAATTCTGCAATCTGCTTATGTCATACATGGCTGTGCCGCATCGTTGCGCAAAGATTATATTCACGTTGTGTAGAGTATTTGTGGTTTCAAACAAAAATGCCTCAAGTACTATTAAGGCATGCCATTGTTGACAGTTCTCCTTAAAATCTTAATTCTATATTCACTGCAATGGATCTTTTTTTTCAAACAAATATCAACTCTGAAATCATTGTTGCGGACATGGCTATTTGTGGAACTAACCAAATTTTTTGTGAACACGTGTTCTTTTGTTTTGCAATCAATTCTTTGTCCTAATTTCTACGATGTATCAAAAACACCTTAGGAGGCTGATCAGGAGCAATGGTTATATGCTTTGACGACCCACGGATAGGCATTTACAGTGTATGTAGATCACACAGTGAATGAGATATAGTATCATATGTTTATTCCTCTAGTTGGTATTTGGTAATACAAAGCTGGCAGTTTTACATAGACGTTCAATCAGTTATTTTGCATTAATACGTCCTCTAACTTAATCTGGAAATTGGATTTTCTTTACACGACCTTAACTACACATTGTCTCTATATATCTTCTTCCAATATTTTTCCATACGGTTGCCGGATTTCTTCATACATGTATATATACGTAGTTTTTGCAAGTGTATTTGAATCACAAGCGAGTGGCGTTTGGTTTTAGTGTAAAATATTTGGTCGATTGGATTGCAAATGATAGAAATTGTCAGTGAATTGAATTACCCCATGAATTTGTCATTGTATTGTATATACTTCTATACTTTTTTTACGGATTTTGACGATGAATTTTGCACAATTTATTGTAGAAATTGACAAGTGTGTGTTGTTTACTAACTATATGCATTGTGGGTGGTGTGAGCTATTTGATAGCGTTTATCTTTATGCCGAATCTCAAGTGCTTATTGAGATGGTAATTAGATAGCAGTGTGGTTTGACCTCATTCTGAAAGATTATATTTCAACTGTGGGTGAAAAAATTAGTACAGTGAAGCAATTTTGTTTTTAAAAGCCGAGGACACATTACAAAGAAAAGAACAATGTTGTGTTTGCGTCCACAGTCTCCGAGTTGTCCAGTGAAGTAATTTGTTGTCTAGGGCAATTTTAAATGACCTTTTTAACACATTTTTAACACGGAGGACATGATTATTATATCTCAAGAAGAGATAAAGCTCATAGATCTAGTTATTGATTAACTTTCAACAGTCTTGATTGTTCTTTATGTAAAGTCATTGATCCTAATTCAAGCTGAGATGTCCTCAAAGAATGAAGACAATCTCACTGACATTAACAGGATGTGGTGTGACAGATGTCTAAGAAGCTTGTCTGTCATCAACAGTGTAATAAAGAGAAAAGTACCTGTGGATCTCATGCAACGTCTTTTGCAAATACTTATCATGTTCATGTTATTTGGCAGATATTTACACGCTTTATTTGCTTTTTGACACATCCATTTGTGAAATCAAGATTATCATGACATTGATCTTGATAAGAAGCTCAGCCAAAAACAAAGGAACAGAAATGACTCGCAAAAGATCAGCGGAAAACTGTTTTTTCTTTTAAAAACAACTTATGCTGTCCAATCTTTATATAAAGATATTGTGTCTTGATAATTGGCTGGAACATACAGTGACAGCTGTTAGAAAGATCAGTGGAAAATTATAGCCTTGTTGATTGTTTGATGTCAAGTTTTATGGTTGATCGCCTTGTTATTGTTATCTTTTTCAGTACTATTGCTATTCAATTGCTGTCTAAATATTTTAAAGGTTCATGAGTAAATTATTGCACTTGTTTAACTCACTGACTCCCGGAGCTTTTTGCCAAAAATGCATTTTTTTTTTTACATTTTGGAGATTTTCAGCCTGGATATGAGCCAAATTAGCTCCAGTGTACTCAAAAAGGCATTTGCAACATGACAGCATGCCTTTCTTTCCACTAGCATCGTGTTTTACAGCATTTTTGCTCAGGCATGCGCAGAAATCAAAGCTTCGAGATAGCTTTGGACAAGAACTGAAGTGAGCTAGGTCTTTAGGCTTTTTGGTTTCTTTAATTTTTTTTTCGCCTTTCCTGTTTCTCCTTTTCTTATCTTTTTGCTACAGCGATTGACCTGCTACTGGGCTTGCTTCCAGTTCCAAAATTTGTGAGAAAGCATCATCGAGACAGTCAATTTTTACCATGGAGAAGCTAATTGTAGTCGTAGGAAAATTTGCTCCAAGTTTTTCACTCAAATTTCTGAGCATTTTCGTGGATATTTCAGGCTCCATTGAGCCGATCAGTCTGATCTGGGTATCATTGGAAAGATCTTTTCCTCCTGCAGAACTTGAGCATAGATGATGCCAATTTTGGTGAAAGGTGATGATGTTAGAAGTGGAACAAAGGCCAACGCGCATCATGGCTGGTTACGGCCAGCACAGGCATCAATGGGTTAATGGCTTAGATTGTTAGTAGCAATCATTGATAAATACAGCTATATATAGGTTGGTGTACAGTCTTTTTACTTAGTTTTGCCAATTTTGATTGCTGGGTAATTATTAGTGTTCGCTAAATTTTATGGCAACTGAAACCCTTTTGAAAAAGTCATACTTGTCAATTACTGCAATTTAGTTTTAGCCCAAAAAACAGTTTAATGTTCATCTTGCTTTTTTATATTTTAATCAAAATGATAAGGCAGTATGTTGGAGGACAAATGTTATCTATTTATTTACTCAAATTCAATTACACAGATGATCAAAGTAAAATACAATAAAGAATTAAATATATTTACAAATGTAAAAAGGAGATATCTGAGTTTATATAGAATAAACTGCCTGAGATAACATATAAACAGAATACTGATATATTTATATTTACTATATAAAACTGATTCACTTTCTTACTAAACCATGATAATTTGATCAATTGTCCTGATGGCTACAGGCAGGCCGTTCCATAAATCCACAGTGTGTTTAAAAAATGAGAATTTAAAGACACTGTATTAAATTTTGTCTCTTTATTTTTGCATTTTGCACGATAAAACCAAAATTACAAAATTTGGTTAATGATATGGAGGTTTCCTGCATATTTAACAAAGAGGGTTATTTTTGAGTATTATATGTCGTGTTTTTGCAGCACAAATGTTAATCTAGTCGTTATTGCTGTTTGCCCACACAGTGATCAAGTTATGAATTTTTTCATCTGTTTTAATCCGTTCCATTTGTTTCAATCTTTTCCAGTTTTTAGTATCTGCACTATAATCATTAATACTTGTAGTGTGCTAAAAGGTTTCCTTGCTCTCCTAGAGCCTTTTGTATCATTTGCTTATATTTAATCAATTTCATTAATGGCAAAAGTGATCTCTGTACAGCATGTTGTTCTCAATACTAGCCACCTGGAAGGGGAAACTCGTGTTAAATTCTTCTCAACATTTTGTTTGGTTTGGTTTGTTTGTCATCCTTAAGCATAAAAATATATTTTTTTTGGCGGCTACACTACCCACGTCCTTGTTCCATGTTGACAATTTATATTTAAGATATAAATATAAATATAATTAATGAATTTATTTCAATTTATCACAAATTGCATTATTGTTAGATATTTGGGGACTGATAAGCTCAGAGTAATAGACATGTTATTGCCATTGTTGTTATAGGTTTTCCTTTTCATTCAGTTTTGTATGCATGTTTGCCTGTATGTACATGAAATTTGAACATTGCAACATTAATTATAACATTGAATGAAGGTTTTTGTGTCATGGTTGTCATGTAATATCTTGCTGAACAAAAAGTTTCTTTGAACTTACAACTGGGTATTTAAATTTTTAATTGCTACACTAAAAAAGTAAAAGTTCCAAAAATAATTTACGGTTAGATTGATGAACTGTGGTTCCCATCGAAAGAAAATTTTAAAATAAGCATGAACTGATCTAGTAGTGTCCTGAGGGAATTTCACAGGTGAATCATTTTTGTCTTACTATGCATTGTCAGTTGATTACCAGTTAAAGTTGCGACAATCAGGAGCTGAGTATGATAAAAGTTTGAAATATGTTTCCATCTGCAACTTGTTATTGTAAATGCAAGATCTTGTCAACCCTGTCATAAACTACAATCTGATACAAATGTTTCGAGATGCCAAATCTAATTTTCATTTCATTTACCATGGAATAGGTGGAAATAATAATTATTATTGATATTGCCAAGAATCTTAAAATCTTAAATTTCCCCTGTCAAAATACCACCATCAATGGTGGCAGTATTGTCCATGGTTATTTTTCTCAGTTGACATGTACAAAATTTTGTATATCAATGATTAATTTACTAATTATAATTTTTCTTAGTGGATCTAGTTTCATCGCTTAATAATTATTCCTGGTGATAATATTGGACTTATAGATGAATTTTTAGAGTAGGAAGATGTAACTGATTATAACAAGCTCACAGTTATTATTTTTTTTACACTTTTTGCAAACTGTTGTTGATTGTAGCTAGGGCTGTAGAGCAGAATGATATGAATTCATGTGATGAAAACCAAATGTTCAAAATAACCAAACTCAGAGATTCCTATAAATAAACTTATGATATACATCTGTTCTTTGTTTGAGTTGCATTTTGTTATCTGGTGGCAACAAATGAAAATATTATATCTTTCAACTGAAAAAATTCACTCTAGTGACTGGCTATTGGCTATTAAAGATATTCACAGTTCTTTATGCATCTGATGTGAATTGTTATGAGCTTTTGGGAACAGAAAGATCTAGACATAATTTCCCGAGCTAATGTTTTGACATAGAGTTTTCTATTTTCTAGTTATTTTGGGATGCTGTTGACATTATTTTTTCTGGGACTCTTCAAATGTGAGAAATTATTAGCAACAATTTCATTTTATTTCATTTTATGTCTGATTTGGATCACTGTTTAATCAGTTGAGAATTTACATGCGAAGTGTTTGTATAGCAAAATTTATTGGAATATGTTTATAATTTGCAATGCTTTGTGCTTTGTATGAACGGTGTAGTTGGGGTTGCCATAGTTGATACAATAACAGCCAAAAGTTTATTGTTAATTGCTTTTGCTGTTTTGTTTTTCTGTTGTAGGAGGGGAGAAATGGGCAACCAAAAGTTAAACGACTCAAAGCTGTAGATGATGTAGGTATGACATCCAGTGATAACGATGAAAAAGACAGTATTTACGGTGCGCTTGTGGTTCTTGGGTAAGTCTGATCAACCCTGTCTCTAAATGAAGGAATCCATCATTCCGGAATAAACGTTTTCAAGACTGTGTTGTTTACATTTTGTGGTAAATGTGTGTGGTTTTGTAATTCTTGGTCAGTTACAATGGTTCTCTACCCGATGGAGGAGAACTCAAGCGTCGTCACCGAAGCTCATATATTTTGAGAAAGAAAGGATCCCCCTCAGGAGTGCAACCCTACAAATTGCACCTGGCTTCTTCAAACACTGGAATGCAGGTGTGTGCAGATTAATCGCACATGTGTGATTCCAGAAAATACCCATTACCATTCAATCATGTAAGATTTTTTAATTGGTGTCCAGGCTTTCCCAACCACGTAGAGTTTTCACTACATGATTAGAGATATCTTCTTGTAAATCATTTCTCTTAGATCAATCACCTGGTTTCTGATATAAGTTTTACAGGCAAAAAGAATATGCCCAAAATNCATGAATTTGTCATTGTATTGTATATACTTCTATACTTTTTTTACGGATTTTGACGATGAATTTTGCACAATTTATTGTAGAAATTGACAAGTGTGTGTTGTTTACTAACTATATGCATTGTGGGTGGTGTGAGCTATTTGATAGCGTTTATCTTTATGCCGAATCTCAAGTGCTTATTGAGATGGTAATTAGATAGCAGTGTGGTTTGACCTCATTCTGAAAGATTATATTTCAACTGTGGGTGAAAAAATTAGTACAGTGAAGCAATTTTGTTTTTAAAAGCCGAGGACACATTACAAAGAAAAGAACAATGTTGTGTTTGCGTCCACAGTCTCCGAGTTGTCCAGTGAAGTAATTTGTTGTCTAGGGCAATTTTAAATGACCTTTTTAACACATTTTTAACACGGAGGACATGATTATTATATCTCAAGAAGAGATAAAGCTCATAGATCTAGTTATTGATTAACTTTCAACAGTCTTGATTGTTCTTTATGTAAAGTCATTGATCCTAATTCAAGCTGAGATGTCCTCAAAGAATGAAGACAATCTCACTGACATTAACAGGATGTGGTGTGACAGATGTCTAAGAAGCTTGTCTGTCATCAACAGTGTAATAAAGAGAAAAGTACCTGTGGATCTCATGCAACGTCTTTTGCAAATACTTATCATGTTCATGTTATTTGGCAGATATTTACACGCTTTATTTGCTTTTTGACACATCCATTTGTGAAATCAAGATTATCATGACATTGATCTTGATAAGAAGCTCAGCCAAAAACAAAGGAACAGAAATGACTCGCAAAAGATCAGCGGAAAACTGTTTTTTCTTTTAAAAACAACTTATGCTGTCCAATCTTTATATAAAGATATTGTGTCTTGATAATTGGCTGGAACATACAGTGACAGCTGTTAGAAAGATCAGTGGAAAATTATAGCCTTGTTGATTGTTTGATGTCAAGTTTTATGGTTGATCGCCTTGTTATTGTTATCTTTTTCAGTACTATTGCTATTCAATTGCTGTCTAAATATTTTAAAGGTTCATGAGTAAATTATTGCACTTGTTTAACTCACTGACTCCCGGAGCTTTTTGCCAAAAATGCATTTTTTTTTTTACATTTTGGAGATTTTCAGCCTGGATATGAGCCAAATTAGCTCCAGTGTACTCAAAAAGGCATTTGCAACATGACAGCATGCCTTTCTTTCCACTAGCATCGTGTTTTACAGCATTTTTGCTCAGGCATGCGCAGAAATCAAAGCTTCGAGATAGCTTTGGACAAGAACTGAAGTGAGCTAGGTCTTTAGGCTTTTTGGTTTCTTTAATTTTTTTTTCGCCTTTCCTGTTTCTCCTTTTCTTATCTTTTTGCTACAGCGATTGACCTGCTACTGGGCTTGCTTCCAGTTCCAAAATTTGTGAGAAAGCATCATCGAGACAGTCAATTTTTACCATGGAGAAGCTAATTGTAGTCGTAGGAAAATTTGCTCCAAGTTTTTCACTCAAATTTCTGAGCATTTTCGTGGATATTTCAGGCTCCATTGAGCCGATCAGTCTGATCTGGGTATCATTGGAAAGATCTTTTCCTCCTGCAGAACTTGAGCATAGATGATGCCAATTTTGGTGAAAGGTGATGATGTTAGAAGTGGAACAAAGGCCAACGCGCATCATGGCTGGTTACGGCCAGCACAGGCATCAATGGGTTAATGGCTTAGATTGTTAGTAGCAATCATTGATAAATACAGCTATATATAGGTTGGTGTACAGTCTTTTTACTTAGTTTTGCCAATTTTGATTGCTGGGTAATTATTAGTGTTCGCTAAATTTTATGGCAACTGAAACCCTTTTGAAAAAGTCATACTTGTCAATTACTGCAATTTAGTTTTAGCCCAAAAAACAGTTTAATGTTCATCTTGCTTTTTTATATTTTAATCAAAATGATAAGGCAGTATGTTGGAGGACAAATGTTATCTATTTATTTACTCAAATTCAATTACACAGATGATCAAAGTAAAATACAATAAAGAATTAAATATATTTACAAATGTAAAAAGGAGATATCTGAGTTTATATAGAATAAACTGCCTGAGATAACATATAAACAGAATACTGATATATTTATATTTACTATATAAAACTGATTCACTTTCTTACTAAACCATGATAATTTGATCAATTGTCCTGATGGCTACAGGCAGGCCGTTCCATAAATCCACAGTGTGTTTAAAAAATGAGAATTTAAAGACACTGTATTAAATTTTGTCTCTTTATTTTTGCATTTTGCACGATAAAACCAAAATTACAAAATTTGGTTAATGATATGGAGGTTTCCTGCATATTTAACAAAGAGGGTTATTTTTGAGTATTATATGTCGTGTTTTTGCAGCACAAATGTTAATCTAGTCGTTATTGCTGTTTGCCCACACAGTGATCAAGTTATGAATTTTTTCATCTGTTTTAATCCGTTCCATTTGTTTCAATCTTTTCCAGTTTTTAGTATCTGCACTATAATCATTAATACTTGTAGTGTGCTAAAAGGTTTCCTTGCTCTCCTAGAGCCTTTTGTATCATTTGCTTATATTTAATCAATTTCATTAATGGCAAAAGTGATCTCTGTACAGCATGTTGTTCTCAATACTAGCCACCTGGAAGGGGAAACTCGTGTTAAATTCTTCTCAACATTTTGTTTGGTTTGGTTTGGTTTGTTTGTCATCCTTAAGCATAAAAATATTTTTTTTTTGGCGGCTACACTACCCACGTCCTTGTTCCATGTTGACAATTTATATTTAAGATATAAATATAAATATAATTAATGAATTTATTTCAATTTATCACAAATTGCATTATTGTTAGATATTTGGGGACTGATAAGCTCAGAGTAATAGACATGTTATTGCCATTGTTGTTATAGGTTTTCCTTTTCATTCAGTTTTGTATGCATGTTTGCCTGTATGTACATGAAATTTGAACATTGCAACATTAATTATAACATTGAATGAAGGTTTTTGTGTCATGGTTGTCATGTAATATCTTGCTGAACAAAAAGTTTCTTTGAACTTACAACTGGGTATTTAAATTTTTAATTGCTACACTAAAAAAGTAAAAGTTCCAAAAATAATTTACGGTTAGATTGATGAACTGTGGTTGCCATCGAAAGAAAATTTTAAAATAAGCATGAACTGATCTAGTAGTGTCCTGAGGGAATTTCACAGGTGAATCATTTTTGTCTTACTATGCATTGTCAGTTGATTACCAGTTAAAGTTGCGACAATCAGGAGCTGAGTATGATAAAAGTTTGAAATATGTTTCCATCTGCAACTTGTTATTGTAAATGCAAGATCTTGTCAACCCTGTCATAAACTACAATCTGATACAAATGTTTCGAGATGCCAAATCTAATTTTCATTTCATTTACCATGGAATAGGTGGAAATAATAATTATTATTGATATTGCCAAGAATCTTAAAATCTTAAATTTCCCCTGTCAAAATACCACCATCAATGGTGGCAGTATTGTCCATGGTTATTTTTCTCAGTTGACATGTACAAAATTTTGTATATCAATGATTAATTTACTAATTATAATTTTTCTTAGTGGATCTAGTTTCATCGCTTAATAATTATTCCTGGTGATAATATTGGACTTATAGATGAATTTTTAGAGTAGGAAGATGTAACTGATTATAACAAGCTCACAGTTATTATTTTTTTTACACTTTTTGCAAACTGTTGTTGATTGTAGCTAGGGCTGTAGAGCAGAATGATATGAATTCATGTGATGAAAACCAGATGTTCAAAATAACCAAACTCAGAGATTCCTATAAATAAACTTATGATATACATCTGTTCTTTGTTTGAGTTGCATTTTGTTATCTGTGGCAGCAAATTAAAATATTATATCTTTCAACTGAAAAAATTCACTCTAGTGACTGGCTATTGGCTATTAAAGATATTCACAGTTCTTTATGCATCTGATGTGAATTGTTATGAGCTTTTGGGAACAGAAAGATCTAGACATAATTTCCCGAGCTAATGTTTTGACATAGAGTTTTCTATTTTCTAGTTATTTTGGGATGCTGTTGACATTATTTTTTCTGGGACTCTTCAAATGTGAGAAATTATTAGCAACAATTTCATTTTATTTCATTTTATGTCTGATTTGGATCACTGTTTAATCAGTTGAGAATTTACATGCGAAGTGTTTGTATAGCAAAATTTATTGGAATATGTTTATAATTTGCAATGCTTTGTGCTTTGTATGAACGGTGTAGTTGGGGTTGCCATAGTTGATACAATAACAGCCAAAAGTTTATTGTTAATTGCTTTTGCTGTTTTGTTTTTCTGTTGTAGGAGGGGAGAAATGGGCAACCAAAAGTTAAACGACTCAAAGCTGTAGATGATGTAGGTATGACATCCAGTGATAACGATGAAAAAGACAGTATTTACGGTGCGCTTGTGGTTCTTGGGTAAGTCTGATCAACCCTGTCTCTAAATGAAGGAATCCATCATTCCGGAATAAACGTTTTCAAGACTGTGTTGTTTACATTTTGTGGTAAATGTGTGTGGTTTTGTAATTCTTGGTCAGTTACAATGGTTCTCTACCCGATGGAGGAGAACTCAAGCGTCGTCACCGAAGCTCATATATTTTGAGAAAGAAAGGATCCCCCTCAGGAGTGCAACCCTACAAATTGCACCTGGCTTCTTCAAACACTGGAATGCAGGTGTGTGCAGATTAATCGCACATGTGTGATTCCAGAAAATACCCATTACCATTCAATCATGTAAGATTTTTTAATTGGTGTCCAGGCTTTCCCAACCACGTAGAGTTTTCACTACATGATTAGAGATATCTTCTTGTAAATCATTTCTCTTAGATCAATCACCTGGTTTCTGATATAAGTTTTACAGGCAAAAAGAATATGCCCAAAATGATAACTGTGTCACAGTTATCTCTACTATTTACTTACAGTGCTGTAACAACTTTAAGCACAGTTACAATCAAAGGTCCTTTAACCTGGAGTTTGGTTGTCCGTACAATGTAATTCCCTTGAATATTAAGATTTTTCCCTTTCTTTTTGTAATACCTTGTGTTACTGACCCTGATGGCTCTCGTTGAACGTGGCTCTCTCATTTTATTCCCTGATCTGTTCAAGAGCAGCAAATTTATTCACTGTGTTCAGGAATAGTAATGAGTCTAAAATGCACCAATTGCAGCAAACTAACATGCTACAAATAGCCACACCTAAACACCTAAACTCGTCAGCAGGTGAAGGCAACATGTAGAACTTTTGTCAGTAATGGAAACACTGGAATCAACACCTTTAAGGGACTCCATCTTGAAAACAAAAAAAATGAAGTTAACCTTCATCTTCTTACTCTGGAAAGTATTGTTTACATTTGTCCCCTTCCCCTCCTTGTTCTCCTTGCCACTGGAAATTTCTGTTCCTGAAACTAGGCTTACCTCCCCAAGTTTGTGGGACTCCCATGGGGAGAGTTGTGGGTATTTTCTGGAACCGCATTTGAAATATCAATGCATGTTTATATCCTGAGGGGTGCCACAGGGTTGCCAATTTTTTAGGAATTTTGTTTTATTCGGTGACTTAGCTAAGTAACAGCCAATCTTGTGGGAGTGCTGTAAGTAAAATTAATTTTGAATAATAATTGATGGTTCATCTTTGGAGTTATTTTGTTTTTTGGTCCATCTGTTTGTTTCTTTGTTTGTTTGTTCATTCGTTTGTTCATTCGTTTGTTCACTCAATTGCAATTGCATAAGAGAACAACATCAGCAAAAGGGTTTATTTCATAGTTGTAGCATTTGTGACAAGCTCCATTGCAGGTAAATACAAGTTTTATTTTCACAAAGAACATTATGCTAATGAGTGGTTAATCAAACAGATTGTTAATTCAGAGGCCCACAGTGTATCATACACATTATCCCGCGGCAATGCAGTTGTTGTTGAATACAGTAGAGACCCTACAACTGATATGTTTCAGGTATGAAACTATGAAACTTCATACATGTTGTGATGTTTAGCCATTTTTTAAAGTTTTCATAGCCTGAATTTCAGCTGATACACTTTGATGAGGGATGTCTGAAATGATGATGCCTTCTGATGACATCACTACCTGAAATGATTGGTTGAATTTGAAATATTTACATAATTATGCATGATTTTGAGTAAATTTTTGCATGGACAACTATAAGACAGCATAAGAGGCCCACTGTTTCAGATGTCTCCCTTGGAAGTGTTTTACTTGAGGATGGCCGCGATTCATTACACCTAGACCCTCTTGGGTCCTCTTGGCTAAGGCACAAAACCAGGACTCGCATCTAAAACGACTGCACACATTTCTCTACCCACACAAGGTGCCGATCTTTAAAATGATGGAGGCAATATTCCTTGAAAGACCTTCCATCCAATTTGAATGTCACTGCTACAACACTTAATGGGAATCAGGATTACATCACATGCCAGTTTATTAAGGTTAAAATCTGACTGTCCTGGATAATTCGACTTGATACTAGAACCTTACAATCAGTGGGCAAGTTTCAGGAAGTATAATTTGTTTGCTTCTTGCTCTTGGCAGATCGGCCGTTCAGCTGATTCTAAAATAGACTTCATTGTAATGGACACAGTCCCTGGAAACAAACGTGCTGAAGTCAATCAAGAGACACAAAAAAGCACCATTTCCAGATACTCCTGTAGGATTGTTGTTGATAGAAGTCCACCTCACACTGCCAGAGTGTTTGCTGCTGGGTTTGACAAATCTAGTAATATATTTTTAGGGGTAAGTGATCATGATAAGATTTCTTACTGATAAACTAGATAAGCTCTTGTAGATAAGGTAAGCTCTAGCAGTGTGGGTCTTTTGGTTTGTGTGCTCTTTAAGCTTAGCTCATGAACATGAAAATTTTAAGTTATTCCTAGTCCAGATTTGAGTTAGAAAGTGTTCTTTAAATTTTGACCTCGACAGGAAAAAGCGCCAAAGTGGCAAAATGAAGAAAACATGATGGATGGTTTAACAACAAATGGAGTTCTTCTAATGAATCCCAAGGGTGGCCCATCTTGTCAGCCAACAATATGGCGGGAAATATCAGTTTGTGGTAATGTATATGGACTTCGCAAAACAAGGTCGACTACTGAGAGAGGGAAGACTGTAAGTAACAAGAGTTTTTGTTTCTTTCTTGCTGTAAGTTTACCGTTGTTCACAAGTTTTGTATAGCTTGGATTGTTGAGCCAGAGTAACTTTCGCAGCCTGACGAGCCCCTCTTGCTATACTTAACTTTACAATAGATGATTGTGAAGCCAAAAGGAACAAAACATCTAGACAGTATTTTCAAGAGATAATGTTTTGTTCTTGTTTTGTTTGTTTTTTGTTAGGTGGAGGATGAGTCAAATGTTCTGCTTGATGGATCATTGATTGATCTTTGTGGAGCTGTTCTGCTCTGGCGATCTGCTGAAGCACTGAAGGAAATGGCAGTATGTTTTCTTTTTCTCTTTCATTCTACTTCTTTTAGACTGTACTTGAGCTCACTTCATATGCTGTAATTAGGCCAGGTCACATGGTATAAAATTAGTCATGCAGAGGGACATTCAAAGAAGGGAAATTCAGGTTTTACTGGTACGGTGCAAGTTGCTTCATTTTGGATGTCCCAGTTTATCTTACTTACTGTCCAGCACATGGTCATCCCCAGAGGCTGTAATCCTTTTGGTCAGCACCAGGAATTGTCACCTCTAGCTGGACCCCATTTAAACTTTGTAACAACCAAGCTTACATGGGCTCATATTGGGAGAATATCAACCCTCAGTCTTTTCTGTATGACCTAGGCCTGCTATTCTTCCGGTTTGGTCCTTGTAGTTTGTTAATAAGACATATCATGAAAAATTGGATTGTTAAATCTCTGCTCTGTACCATAAAATTAATGATAATTTGTGGACTTAAAGGAAACAATAACAGCACACAATAATTACTTAGCATTACTAATATGGGACTTCTTAGGTAGCTTGAAGTAAGGTTTTGAATGATTGACAGCCACATTTGTCCTGATTCGCAGACTTTGGAAACCATTGACAAAATGAGGGAGGGACTGAATGCATCTAGACCACAATGTCCTGTTGGTCTAACAACATTGAGATTCCCCAGTCAGTTAGAGGTAAGATTACTGCTAAGGTTGTTGTCTTGTATAGTGGAAACTCGTGAAACATACATTTACATACATTTGTATTTTTGTTTTCAAATTAAAATTACAATTATAGCATGCCCGCAGATAGCTGAGCTAATCTAGGCGGGTCATGTTTACACAAATTATTAATATACAACTAGGTACAACTAAATACAACTGAAGGCAACAAGAGAACTAAAGAGACTAAAACTGATAATGAAACCAATCAGCATTCATTGAAATGCTATACTAAAGGAGCACTGCCGCACATTGTTGGCTTAAGCATCTGGTAAACTTGAAAGACTCTTCTATTCAATACTGTATCTCATGAAACCAGGATGAACTGTAACAAAACAAGCTGCAAATGTTCAGTTTTACAATCAGATGTACTTGGCCAAATGAAAATGTTTTATTAGTAACAGTCCAGTGTTGGAAATAAGCTATCTCTAAACAAAAACTTACCAGTGCTTTTTTTTTACCTTTTCTATCTTTCGAGATGCTCAACTAATTTGCCAATAAAACAAAACTCAGTGTTTCATAAATAGACAAAATACATTATGGCTTCCTCGCAGTGATAATTTACATAACTGTTGCACGTGTATGAAGTGATACTGCTGGTCTCTAGGTGAGCCGGCAGTTATTAGTACATGAGAATTGAAGATGGTGCACAAGAGGAATAAGGATGTTTATTCACTAAGAAATAAATCTCACCAAGATTCATTGATAGAAGCTGTTTTTAAAATTAAAGTTTCTCCATTGTAGTTTTCCTTAAGGTCTTTTAGTATAATTTTTCATTGAAGGGAAAAACGTAAGTCTTCCACATACTGACAAGTTGTGCACTCCAATTTCTTGATTCTAGGGAAATATGTGAATTTGGTAGTGCCAGCTGTTTGTTTAGCTGTTTTTCAGTTAACACTATGGAAATGTGGAAATATTTCCAAGGAGTGTCAAAAGTTGATGATAGAAACAAAGATAAGACAGTAAAATCAGTCTGTGATCCTATAATGGACCAGAACAAGAAAGCTCAAAACGAAATGGCAAGCTTGGGTGGTGGTGGGGGGGACGCATCTTTCTGAAAATAACACTGAGCAAGTGGATTTTGAGAGTCACTTACCCAAATGGCCAGTGCTGTTAAAATTTAGTTTCCAACACTGCAGTCATTGGGAAAATGCAAATTTTATTACATCTGTTTATGGTTTGCTCAATTCAAGAAGCTAGTCACAAAAGGGGATAAGTGACGATTTTGGTTGCTCTTCTTTTTTTTGCTCCAGATTAGCTGAATTTTTGCATGTGGTCTTCAATGTAATAGAAAAACGTGGTTCTGTATTTTTGTCGCTGGTTTTTGCTTTGNCATCTTTCTGAAAACAACACTGAGCAAGTGGATTTTGAGAGTCACTTACCCGAATGGCCAGTGCTGTTAAAATTTAGTTTCCAACACGGCAGTCATTGGGAAAATGCAAATTTTATTACATCTGTTTATGGTTTGCTCAATTCAAGAAGCTAGTCATAAAAGGGGATAAGTGACGATTTTGGTTGCTTTTCTTTTTTTTTGCTCCAGATTAGCTGAATTTTTGCATGTGGTCTTCAATGTAATAGAAAAACGTGGTTCTGTATTTTTGTCGCTGGTTTTTGCTTTGTTTTCGAGTTAAAACTTATGCAAAAAACTTTTTGAGAGATTTTGAGAGCATTTCAAAATATTGAAAAATTCATAATTTCCTGAAAAAAGCATGATTTTGAAAAAGGAATGCATAGCTATGTTTCCAAAGTTGGCTTTAATCGAAATTCACCAAAAAAGGCTTGATTTAATGAAAAACCGCGTTTCCTTTAGCATTTAAACAAGCCGGAAGTGCAGCCGATATCTATTGGAAGTTACCCTATCAGCGTGTGCGCAATTTACACTACCAGCGCACTTCGGTAGATCAAACAAAGCCACATTGAGGAAGTTTTTCTCTTTCTATTGCTCTTGTTTTTCTGTCTTTCTCTTATTTTGTCTTTACATGTACTTTTTTTACTTTGCATTTTGTGAAACACAAAAAAAAACATCTAAAATGTAAGCGAATATGCAAGCTTTTGAGTTGTTATTATTTTCCGTGCTCAGGTTGACGTAAGTAACCGGAAGTGAAATTTCACCTCCTTAGCATCGCATGTGAGCGCGCGCATGAATTGGTTAATGGGCCCTTAAGCATTGTTTTAAAGTACCTTGTATGCCTGCCTGGTGGTTGAGAGGCATCATAAAGCCTTGATAAACCCGTAAGTCATCAGCA